CAGACCACTGACCCAGCAGGGACCAGTCATATGGTCTGAAAGAGAAATCCTTGATGCTGCTTCCACAGTCTGTATTATTCAATAGATCTCTATTTTAATGTCCCAAGAAAGGAGATTTTGTATTAGAGCCTCACAGTGGATGAGGGTTTGGATGAGATAACCACTGTGCAGTTGGTGCTGGCATCTGGATAGGGGTGGAAACAAGGGGATGCTGTCCCAAGTATTTGGGGCCTCCTGAACTGTTTCCAAAAGAGCTGTGAAGTTCTTAACTTTTTAAATAGCCCAAATAGCTCTTTGCTCTCAGCTTACTGGCAGCCCCTCTGGAAAGGAAATCCTCCATGTTCCCATCGGTCACTGGAGAGCCTCACATCAAACAAGGATCAAGCATTGCATGCTTCCCAAAGCTTTCATGTTTCTTAGCTGATGTCCAATATTTCCTTTGAATTTACCATATTCCTTTTGCCTTTGCTCCGAGCCCAGGAGACTTCCCTCTCTCTGTGAACCCCATTGTTCCTAACGCCACCTCTGCTAAGCTCTGATAAGAGCTGTGCTCCTGGAGGTGATGCTTATTTTGGTGACCCAGAATAACAAACCCGTGTCAGGCTTTACTCCCAGGCAAGGGGAATCAGGCAGAACTCAGCAAGGCAAGGGGTGACATCTCCTCAGAGAGCTACCGAGAAGCATAAGGGGAAATGCATGAAGGAACAAACAGCACAGAAAGAGAAGTTATTTAAATAGGATGTTCTTCATTCACACAAAGCCTGTCTAGCACTCTGCAAGAGAGCTGAATTCTGGATTAATTTGCAATACTTTTGGCTTGCTTGTTAGGTTGTGGAGATGTGCTGCTGTCGCAATGTGCTGTGTTTGTCTCAGAGAATCTGCCTCAAAGGGTATCAAAATGACTGCACAGAAATGAGGAGGAGTATTTGTGATAAAAATGAGACCTGAATAATATTAGAACTTCCTGAGTGGCCAGATCCTAAGGGGATCCTATATGAAAGATGGAGGGGGGTTGCTACAAGTGCATGTACTAACAGGACAAAGGAGAACTCTTCACACTGACAGAAAGTAGGTTTAGATTAGATACAGGAAAAACTTCCCTATGAGGGTGGTGAGGCTCTGGCACAGAGAAGCTGTGGCTGCCCCATCCCTGGAAGTGCCCAAGGCCAGGTTGGATGGGGCTTGGAGCAAACTGGGATAGCGGAAGGTGTCCCTGCCATGGCAGGGGATGGAATGTGATGGGCTCTAAGGTCCCTTCCAACCCAAACCATTCTGTGTTGCCATGATTCTATGATAGACTGGAATATGGTAAATATTTTAGTAGCCAAAATGCAGAGGGGCACCCTATAAACAGAGCATGTCAAGACACTGCAGGTGATAAACTCAAAACTCACAACTCAAAAGATGCATTTAAAGAGCATCAGTGGGATCAGCTGTTGAGCTGGAAGCTTTGGGGGTTAAATATCACTGATGGGATGAGTTTAGTTTGTATTTATCTTATGCAAAGCAGAAATTCAGTTCTTAGCTGCTGGTGGGTCAGAGGGTGGGAGACCCCTCTACCTCACAAAATAAACCAAACCAAGGTTGGGGTATCTATTTTAAAAGCTGCAGAAGCAGGGAAGGCAGGGCAGGGAGTCACCTCGGCATTACCTCGGAAGGTGAATGTAGCAGGGCCATTAGCACATTGTTCATCTGCAGTCCCACCGGGAAAGGAACACAATCTCAGTTTACTGGTCTCTAGTTTCATCCCTGCCACTGATCTCTGCCATCTCGCTGTGTGACCTTGGGCAGCACATTTCATCTCAGTTTTGCACCAAATAACAAACGGGACTGAGAGTGGTATGGGGAAGGCAAAGCCCTAGGGATCCACGGGATATGGGAGCAACCTCCTGGCACAAGAGGGTCTGTGAGTGCTGTGGGGTTGGATACTGCTGGTCTGTTTACAGTGAGGAAAGCCTCAATATTTCTTTCAACTTTTCCTGGATCTCAGAACAGCAGATCCAGCTTTTGCTCAGCTCTGGTGAAACACAGTAAGATGAAGTGCTTAAAAGGTGTCTTTAGTGATGTGTGGAGGTAGCAGAGGTGAGCTCCAGCCTAGAACAGTGCAGTGGAGTAGGCTGGTGTGTCTATCCCTGTGTGTGGAGCCTCTTCTTTCTCTCAGCTCCACTCAGTGACACCTGGACTGAAGCCCAGGTTTAAAGAGTGGAATATACCTTCACACTGCTTTAAGTGGGGCTTCGAAAGGCAGGTGAACTTTACTGATGAATTTTTAAAGCAAGTCTTTAATGTTTAAACAGTGCTGATTTTCTAAGAGCTGTTGAACACATGTGGCAGAGGGCTGGACAGCACCTCCTCAGCATGACACTGCAGAAAGGGCAGGGCTGGCGGTGTGAAACTTCCCTTCCCTTCCCTTCCCTTCCCTTCCCTTCCCGCCCCTTCCCGCACCTTCCCGCACCTTCCCGCACCTTCCCTTCCCTATCTTTCCCCTGCTCAGAGCCAAGCCCACCCCAGCACCACCATGACAAACACTGAATTTTCTGGCCTCACTGATGCAGCTTTGTCACAAACCTCCTTTGCAACCTCTTTCATAACAAGATAAATAGGAATAACAATACCCTGAACAATCCCTACCCCTGCACGTGACACACCAGTGCACTTGAATTGCTGTTGATTTTTTTTTTAATTTATGCCACCAGATGAGGCATAGAAGTTGAGACAAAAGCAGAATTTGAAGTTCAGTGCCCTTGCAATGGGGGAAGTGGAGGCTGAATGATATCTCCAGACCAGATGTCCTTCCTGGAAGACATTCTCCTTTCTAAATGCAGGAGTTCCTGGGCTGGGCTGCTGAGGGGTGAGAACTTCTTTCTGAGGAGCTCCCATGAGAAAAAAACTGAGGGTCAGTGCCAGCCCTTGAGGCAAACACCCAATCCTGGTAGGTGGAAGGACAGTCAGGGCCCTTGGGAATGCCCCAGAGAGTTGGCCCAGTGTCAGGGGAAAATGCCAAGGTGACCTTCTGGTAGCAGGAGAAAACAAGTGATGGAAAATGGGAATTATAGTCAGGGCTGCACAGCAGAGAAAAGGATCAGTTGGGACTCACCAAAATCTCATCCAGCTTTTATGACCTGAACAAAAGGGAAACCACCACAACTAGGGCACAAAGTAGTTACAGGCTGGTGTAAATTCTGTAGCAAGAAGATGGAAATAATGCTTTATTTTTTCTTCTGTTTTCTTCTGAGGAAATTTAGCAGTAAATGAGGAACAGAAAGTTGCATTGTGATGGGAAACTCAGAATATTTATTTATAAATAATTACATTTTGTTTTTATTCTGAATATATATTTATAAAGTAGATGTTGCAAGCCTTGAGTAACTTGGTGGCTTTTGATGCCAAGTCGTGCTGTAAAGGTCTTTAGGAAAAGTGCTCTGACTCTGTGGGCTGCAGCCTTGGGAGCTCTGACATTTGATGGTCTGGGGGTTGGTTGTTTTTGAGCAGTGTCAGGCTGGTCTCCTCAGTCTGAGACAGCAGAACATTTCAAGAAATATTGCTGATCAGAAATAGCACTGCAGCTTCCTGAAATGCCTGCTCAGATAAGGGGACACTCCACAGCTGGAAGTGATAAGCAGGCAGGAAAAGACAAAGCGGCAGTAAATGTGATGTTACTTCAATACCAGCAGGCAAAGGGGCAGCTGGGCCTTAGAGAGAACCTGAAAGGAGGCTCTGAAGGTGCAAAATGTTCTCCAGCCAATCTCCCACATCCCTCTCCTCCACCACTCTTGGTGCCACACACCCCAATGCCCCAGAACCAGCTGCTCAGCCACTCTGATACCCCAAAGTTGGCAGTGTTGGCATCATTTTCTCCATAGAGCCACTGCACCAAGGACTGTCACTGGATGGTGACAACTGCCCAGCACATGGCCTGAAAAACAGGGGCCACTCACCCTGAGCTGCAAAGCCCCCCAAGATTCACCAAGCACTGCACAGATTTTCAGAGCTAATGGGAGAGGGGGAAGCTGAGAGGTGAGGATGACTTCCAGTGTCACTTGGCTGGGTGATCCCCTTGTACCTCATTAGAGAGTACAGTTTGGGGAGTATTTGCTCAAGGTGCGGTTCACAGGTGTATAAGAAGTCACATAATAAATCAAACAATACAGTGCAGTGATAGGGTGAGTGAGTCCCTCGTGAAGGGCTGATCCACCCTGGGATGAGCAGGATTTGATTGTGTTTGGGAGCTGCGGCTCTGCCTCTTCCAGCCCCGACCCGAGAAGGTTCCCCCTCCTCAGGGGCAGGTGCCAGTTTGGGGAGAGTCATAGAAACATGGAATATCGTGAGCTGAAAGGGTCCCATCAGGTTCAACTCCTGGTCCTGCACAGGACACCCAACAATCCCACCCAGTACCTGAGATCACTGTCCAAGTACTCCTTGAGCTCTGGCAGGGTTGTTGCTGTGACCACTGTGGGATGGGGTGAGCTCATCTCCACACACACCCCTCGTTATTCTCCCTTTCTGCTCGCATGAGAACTCACCTGGAGACGTGCCTGGGTCTGGAGTCCTCAGCACAGGAAGGATATGGAGCTGCTGGAGCGAGAAAGAGCGAGTCCAGATGAGGCAGGGAGATGATCAGAGGGATGGAGCAGCTCTGCTGTGGGGACAGCCTGAGAGAACTGGGAGTGTTCACCTGGAGAAGGCTCCGCGGAGACTTCCCTTCCAGTGCCTAAAAGGGCTCCAGGAGAACTGGAGAGAGACCCGGGACAAGGGATGGAATGACAGGACAAGAGGGAATGGCTTCCCACTGCCAGAGGACAGCGTTAGGTGGGGTACGGAACAGGAATCTCCCCCCTCACGGCCGGGGCCCACCTTCCCCTCAGC